CTGTGGACACGTCTCCCCCGCATGACGGGGCGGTTTACGATGGTTCACCGGGAGAGAATGAAATCGACTTTCAACAGGAGTTACAAGTCGCTGCACATTGGTCTGGATTCTTCGACAAGGAAAGTGGAATAAAGTACTATAAATATGGTTTCAGTGACCGATGTTTATCTATTGACGATTTTTACAACGTAAATGTAGTGAGTATAAGACAGAAAACATGTCATGATATTCTTGTTACAATAATACTTACCTCGAACGTTTTTTGCTTTATTTTATTCACTAGTGTCACTGGCACCACGAAGAGACACAAACTTCAAAAATCATATATTTTTCAATTTTTCTTTCTTGGGCATTTTGATTATGTACATCGAACTTTACATTTTCATCTAATGTTTGCGTCCATGCAAGGCGCTGTTGACCTAGAGCTCCACTTCTTGTTCTTGTTACCAGAACTATAAAATCGTCAATCGTCGCCAGTATTGAACGGATGTGCATGAAATTTTGTACACAAACTAGAGGTGATTTCCAACAAACGTTCATTGCCCTTTTTATAAGTTGGACCCCGGATTTCCCTTACACCTACAAAACTAAACAGGGGTTTCAGCAAGGATTGTACGTTACTGCCATTACCACTAATAGGGCGCGCCGCATGGATGGTGCGGTTGGTTAAGGACGTGTTCTAAAAAACTTAAGGTCGTGAGATTGAATTGCGTCTTGGTATTCAATTTTTTTTTTCCAATTTTAAGAAAGTTAATTTTTTTTTTCTAAATTTAAGATATTTTAATTTTGTACAAATGAACATTCTAAATAATATTTTTTTATTCAATCAAAGATTTAGCACACACAGAGTGGCTACCAGCAGTTTAGCCAAATGAGCTATAATACTGCTTATGTCAACATGTTATCTGTCTCATTTTTCTTTCATTTTACTGGTTGTTTGCACTTAATATGTGTTTTTCTTTTGAAAGTGCTTCTATAAATAAATGAAAATATTCATAAGTTACTTTAACCCTTTTACATTGTTAGACAACTTTAAAGACCACATCAACATTCTCAACTTGGACTGCGCCTTCAACAGGAAAGTACTACTGCACAGTTATTGCCTTTAATAACGCTGTTGACCCATCTAATCCCGTTTGCTCTGATGGTGTGACAATTGATAATTCATCTCCTACTATATATGACGTATTTGTTGAGAACTTGTACATTAGGCCCGGTCTCGTCCGCAATGTAGATAATTCTACGGTTTGGTACATCAACCAAGACCTGAAAAAATCGGTTGTCCAAAACCCGTCAGACACATGCATGTAAGTTTACCAGTCGCATAACGTAGAATACTGAATGAAATATACATTTTTAAGTAACAGACACATAGTAAGAGAAGGCGGCTCAGCGAAAAACATTGAATCATAACCTTGTCAAAAATATTTTACTTTGACCTTTCTATTTTTTTTCTAAATAAACACAACCAGTTGGCATATTAAAAGGTGTTTTATGTTTGTTTTTTTCATAGTTCTTTGTCAAGGGCACTGGATGAAGAAAATTTATCATTGATTCCAGCTGTGTTTTCAAATGGAACAATTAACTCAATCAGTGATCTAGAGTGTTTGCAAAACAAGCCATTATCAACTTATTCATATTTGAGAGAGGATAGATATGTAAGTTTAATCATTCCTTAACCTCTACACGTTGATATCAAATTTATATTTATTTAGTTCTATTTATAACATAAGTTTGAAACGTATAAAAAAATATGAATAATATTCATTGCATGGGGAAAGTAAAAAATATACAGAAGTTTTAAAAACCTGCTCTCAAAGTATGCCTAATTATTATCTTCTGTTAAGAAGACAACAAATCCAATAACTTTACAAATTTGCCAAAAACAGCAATATAGAACTACTACTCTACGACTGAGGTTATGAATAATGCAAGCTTATGTCATATTTGTTAATATTTTAGTTATCTGCCATCTGGACTGGAGTAGATAATGAAAGCGAGATATTTGATTACATGGTGGGGTTGTCAAGTACACCGTCAATTACTGGGCCAGATTTGGTGCCGTTTAAATCAACAGGTGGACACCCAATATTAAAAACCTACCATCCTCATCTTGGTGAAGGTGTAGAGTTCTTCATTATAATCAAGGCAATCAACCGAGCAAAGATGTTTACAACAATCGTAAGAAGTATTTTATGTACAACTTGGTACATATTGAAGTATTTTATTAAAGTGGTTTATCTAATTTATTTAATCATATTCCGAACCAAAAATATCATTTTATGTGTCTGCTTGTATACTGATCCTAATTTAATAGGCTTAAAAAGAAAGGTTGCATACCAAATATAATGGACTTAAAAGTACTAAAGCTTAATATAATAAAATATAATCAATGTAATGCTATAAATTACACAGAGAATAAACATTTTTCTACATCTTGTATTGATGAAGCACATGTGCGGTATTGTCTCCTTGATAGATGATTGGTCCAATTATTGTTGATGTGACTCCACCTTCCTTTACGGGTGATATATACGTCAGACTTGACGAGGAATATTTGTTAGCAGAATGGAACGCTGACTGTTTTATTGACGACGAGGACGACGAACCTCTTACTTACTACGTCGCAGTTGGTAAGTAATAATGAATTGTGCGAAAGAAAGAATCAACAATATTAACTGATGAAAATGAATCAGCTGAACGTATATCATAAGCACCTAATGGTACGTTCAATCTCTAGGAACTTAACGCCAGCGTATCTAAGTAACACAAAGGGTGTCTGAACACGTCACACGTCTAAAGGTACTCCATTCAGCAAACTAAAGGCACCAGTAAAACTTTAAAACATGCCAGTAGTCCACTTATTGCTACACGGTCTGCACAGGTCTGAGACAACTATACAACTTGTATAGTTGTCCCAGGCACAGATTCATTATTAAATAATTCATACATTAATAATCTTTGTTCATACATTAATAATCTTTATTCATACATTAATAATCTTTATTCATACATTAATAATCTTTATTCATACATTAATAATCTTTATTCATACATAATAATCTGTATTCATACATTAAGAATTTTTTATTCATACATTAATAATCTTCATTTTATAAAAGGGCATTCACCAGGGACAACTGAACTTTTACCATTCGAGCCAATCAACGAGACCGCTCCGTGCACAACAATATCAAATACTTCAAAACTGTGTACAGCTATATGGCTATACCGATTGGATTGGGAGCTTCACGTCAATCATGCTTACTTCGTGTCAATCAAAGCAATTAACGTCGCTGGTCTGACTACCATTGGTGTCTCGGAGCCGTACTATCATACTAATGCTCTTCCAACGCTTGGAGTTGTTTTTGATGTTTCTGTTAGGCAATCTAGACCGACACCACCAAAGGTTGACAATTAATAAATTTCATACTAAACATAATATCAACCACAGTAACAAATCAATTGAATAATAATAATAATAATGATATTTCTATCTATGTTAGTTCTCTTAGTATTATTGTTAAAGAAATAGCACTAATAGTAAATATTAAAAGCGGTAGTGATAATAACAATAACAATAATAATAATAAATAAAAATTACGATAATCATAGTAATGATAATACAAGTTTAATTCTTAATAATAATTGTAATGATAATGAAATGCTATTGTTGCCGTTATGTCAATACTACAAAAGAAATAACAATAGACAACAACGAAATATGGCGATATTAGGCATTATTAAATTATTATTTATTATATTAGGAATATTGATATAAGATTTACAATTCTAATTTTTAATAATAATTGTAATGGCTATTTATATTATTATTCTTGATTATATTACTAAGCCTTTTATTATAGTTATAATAGTATACTTAAGAAAGTATAATACATACTCCAAGTATTGAAATACACGCCATCGTGTTGGGATTCAATATTTCGACATTAATTATGTCATCATCAGGAATGAAAATAACTTATTATATCACATCTATGACGAACTTGTTCTCTGATTCAACTAAGTTTAAGAAACTATCTAACTGTTCATTAACCACGCAGCTTAATTCCTTACAAGCCTACCTCCGGACACTATTTAATAGAAATGAACTAACTGAAACTGAATACAAAGAAATTCGTCCAGTATCAACCATGCCTGCTAGAGCCCATGGACTACCTAAATTACATAAAGATTT